GGTTGAAATGAAGGAAGAATTGCTAAGGGCAGCCAGAGAGAAAGATTGGGTTACCAAAAAATGAAGCCCATCAGACTCACAGTGGATTTCTCGGCAGAAACCCTATAAGCCAGAAGAGAGTGGGGGCCAATAGTCAGCATCCTTAAAAGAATTTTCAACCCAGAATTTCATATCCAACCAAATTAAGCTTCATAAGTGAAGGAGAAATAAAATTCTTTACAGATAAGCAACTGCTGAGAGATTTTGTCACCATGAGGCTTGCCTTACAAGAGATCCTGAAGGAAGCATTAAACATGGAAAAGAACAACCAGTACCAGCCACTGGAGAAACATTCCGAATTGTAAAGACCATTGACACTATGAAGAAACTACATCAACTAATGGGCAAAACAACCATTTAGCATCAGAGTGACAGGATCAAACACACACATAGCAATATTAACCTTAAATGTAAATGGGTTAAATGCCCAATCAAAAGACACAGACTGGCAAATTGGATAAAGAGTCAAGACCCATTGGTGTGCTGTATTTAGGAGACCCATCTCATGTGCAAAGACACACATAGGCTCAAAGGAATGGAGGAAGATTTACCAAGCAAATGGAGAGCCAAAAAAAAGCAGGGGTTGCAATCATAATATCTGATGAAACAGGTAAACCAACAAAGATCAAAAGAGACAAGGGCATTACATAATGGTAAAGGGATCAATGCAACAAGAAGAGCTAACTCTCCTAAATATATATGCACCCAATACAGGAGCACCCAGATACATAAAGCAAGTTATTAATGACCTAAGAAAGAGACTTAGACTCCCACACAATAATAGTGGGAGACTTTAACACCCCACTGTCAGTATTGGACTGATCAATGAGACAGAAAATTAACAAAGATATCCAGGGCTTGAACTCAGATCTGGACCAAGCAGACCTAATAGACATCTACAGAACTCTACACCCCAAATCCACAGAATATACATTCTTCTCAGCACCACATCACACTTATTCTAAAATTGACCACAGTTGGAAGTAGAACACTCCTCAGCAAATGCAAAAGAACGGAAATCATAACAGTCTCTTGGACCACAGTGCAATCAAATTAGAACTCAGGATTAAGAAACTTACTCAAAACTGCACAACTACATGGAAACTAAACAACCTGCTCCTGAACAACTACTGGATAAATAATGAAATGAAGGCAGAAATAAAGATGTTCTTCAAAACCAATGAGAATGAAGATACAACTTACCAGAATCTCTGGGACACATTTAAAGCAGTGTCTAGAGGGAAATTTATAGCACTAAATGCCCGTTAGAGAAGTGAGGAAAGATTTACAATTGACACCCTAATGTCATGATTAAAAGAACTAGAGGAGCAAGATCAAACAAATTCAAAAGCTAGCAGAAGACAAGAAATAACTAAGATTGGAGCAGAACTAAAGGAGATAGAGACATGAAAAAACCTTCAAAAAAAATCAGTGAATCCAGGAGCTTTTTTTTTTTTTTTTTTTTTTAAAGATCAATGAAATAGACCATTAGCCAGACTAATAAAGAAAAAAAAAAGAAAAAAATCAAATAGATGCAATAAAAAATGAGAAAGTGGATATCACCACCAATCCCACAGAAATACAAAGTACCATCAGAGATTACTACAAACACCTCTATGCAAATAAACCAGTAAATCTAGAAGAAAGATAAATTCCTGGACACTTACACCCTCCCAAGACTAAACCAGGAAGAAGTTGAGTCCCTGAATAGACCAATAACAAGGTCTGAAATTGAGGACACAATTAACAGCCTGCCAACTAAAAAAAGTCCAGGACCAGACAGGTTCACAGCCAACTTCTAACAGACGTACAAAGAGGAGATGATACCGTTCCTTATGAAACTATTCCAAACAATACAAAAAGAAGGAATACTCCCTAACTCATTTTATGAGACCAACATCATCCTGATACCAAAACCTGGCAGACACACAATTAAGACCAATATTTATGATGAACATTGATGTGAAAATCCTCCATAAATACTGGCAAACCGAATCCAACAGAACATCAAAAAGCTTATTTATTCATCACAATGAGTTGACTTCATCCCTGGGATGCAAGACTGGTACAACATAAGCAGATCTATAAATGTCATCCGTCACATAAACAGAACCAAAGATAAAAACCACATGATTATTTCCATAGATGCAGAGGTGGTGTTTCACAAAATTCAACAGCCCTTTATGCTAAAAACTCTCAAACTAGGTATTGATGGAACTTATCTCAAAACAATAAGAGCTATTTATGACAAACCCACAGCCAGTATCCTACTGAATGGGCAAACACTGGAAGCATTCCCATTGGAAACTGACACAAGACCAGGATACCTTCTCTCACCACTCCTATTCAACATAGTATTGGAAGTTCTGGCCAGGGCAGTCGGGCAAGAAAAAGAAATAAAGGGTATTCAGTTAGAAAACGAAGTCAAATTGTCTCTATTTGCAGATAACATGATTGTATATTTAGAAGATCCCATTGTCCAAGCCCAAAATCTCCTTAAACTGATAAGCAACTTCAGCAAAGTCTCAGGATACACAATCATTGTGCAGAAACCACAACCATTCCTATACACTAAAAACAGAGAGCCATATCATAAGTGAACTCCCATTTGTAATTGCTACAAAGAGAATAAAATAGGAATACAACTAACGGGATGTGAAGGATCTCTTCAAGGAAAACTACAAACCACTGCTCAAGGAAATAAGAGAGGACATAACAGGTGGAAAAAACATTCCATGCTCATAGTTAGGAAGAATCAATATCGTGAAAATGGCCATATTGGCCATAGTAATTTATAGATTCAATGCTATCCCCAAGCTACCATTGACTTTCTTCACAGAATTGGAAAAAACCACCTTAAAGTTCATATGGAACCAAAAAAGAGCCTGCCTAGCCAAGACAATCTTAAGCAAAAAAGAAAACAAAGCTGGAGACATCACGCTACCTGACTTCAAACTATACTATAAGACTACAGTAATCAAAACAGCATGGTATTGAGATGCAGACCAGTGGAACAGAACAGGGGCCTCAGAAGTAATGCCACATATCTACAACCATCTGATCTTTGACAAACCTGACAAAAACAAGCAATGGGGAAAGGATTCCTTATTTTAGAAATGGTGTTGGAAAAACTGGCTAGCCATGTGCAGAAAGCTGAAACTGGATCCCTTCCTTATACCTTATACAAAAATTAACTCCAGATGGATTAAAGATTTAAATATAAGACCTAACACCGTAAACAACCTAGAAATAAACTTAGGCAATACCATTCAGGACATAGGCATGGGCAAGGACTTCATGATTGAAACACCAAAAGCAATGGCAACCAAAACCAAAATAGACAAATGGAACCTAATTAAACTAAAGAGCTTCTGCACAGCAAAAAAAAAAAAACAAAAAAAAAAACTATCATCAGAGTGAACGGGCAACCAACAAAATGGGAAAAACATTTTGCAGTCCACGCATCTGACAAAGGGCTAATATCCAGACTCTACAAAGAACTTAAATTTACAAGGAAAAAACCACCCCATCAAAAACTGGGTAAGGATATGAACAGACACTTCGCAAAACAAGACATTTATGTAGCCAACAAACATACAAAAAAAAGCTCATCATCACTTGTCATTAGAGAAATGCAAATCAAAACCACATTGAGATACCATATCGTGCCAGTTAGAAGCTAGGCAATCATGAAAAAATCAGGAAACAACAGATGCTGGAGAGGATGTGGAGAAATAGGAATGCTTTTACACTGTTGGTGGGAGTGTAAATTAGTTCAACCATTGTGGAAGACAGTGTGGCGATTCCTTAAGGATCTAAAACTAGAAATACCATTTGACCCAGCAATCCCATTACTGAGTATATACCCAAACGATTATAAATCATTCTATTATAAAGATAAATGTATACGTATATTTATTGCAGCACTGTTCACAATAGCAAAGACTTGGAACTAACCCAAATGCCCATCAGTGATAGACTGGATAAAGAAAATGTAGCACATATACACCATGGAATACTATGCAGCCATAAAAAACGATGAGTTCAGGTCCTACCTTTGCAGAGACATGGATAAAGCTGAAAGCCATCATTCTCAGCAAACTGACACAGGAATAGAAGGCCAAACACTCATAAGTGGATGTTGAACAAGAACACATGGCACAGGGAGGGGAACATCACACACTGGGTCCTGTTGGGGGTGGGGGACTAGGGGAGGGATAGCATTAGGAGAAATACCTAATGTATTTGATGGGGTGATAGATGAAGCAAATCACCACGGCACGTGTATACTATGCAACAAACCTGCACAATTTGCACTTGTACCCCAGAAGTCAAAGAGTTTATATAAATATATAAAAGACACATGCCAAGAGATAGTTTTTATTAAATCAAAATGCTATCTGGATATTAAAAACTTAGTTGTGGCAAATGTCATTAAAAAATAGTTGTCTTCTCTTTGAACAGGGCCTTCAACCTTTTTAAGCCCCGAGGGTTGGGTGGGGAGTGGGTCAAGAAGAAACAACTACATGAATGTAGCTGTCAAAGGTTTTAAATTCTGCTTTACAAAAATATATTACAAATGTGTTTTATTTTAGTAAACTTGCAAAGGGAAAAGACTTGCCTTATTAAATAATTTACTTAAAAGCTTAGAAACAATGTTAATACATCGATGTGAGGTTTTTGTTTATTTTCAAAAGGTATTTGTCTCCACCATCCCAGAAATGGCAGGTGGCTGTACCCCTTACCTGGTGGCATCTGAGTTCCACTTGCCATCTCTTTCCACAGATGATGAGAAAGCACAGCAAGCTTCGCTGGCTCTGCAGCTTTCCATGGGAACTTGGTCTTCCTCCCCCACGTCATGCTGCCAGAAGTTAGAAACTTTGAAGAGTGAATGGGGGTGTGGGCTGGAGTCCTTTGGACATTAGGCCAGGACTTTTCATAGCAACACGATAAACACTCCCCACAGTGCACTAACTCATAGATGATTTATTGCCGTAAGTAACTAAACAAGAGGAGACAGGCTGTTGTTTTGGTCAAGACAATCGGCATTCTCTCTCCAAGGTTGGCCAGTTGTATCTACTTACAGCCTTAATACTTTCTGGACAATAGAAACACATGATCGACACAGCATACATGGGTAACAACTTGACCAATATTACACTGATTAAAATAGCACATAGCAAGGGCAGCAGCCAGTCCCAGTGCCCTGAAATGACAGAAGTAATGTGTGTTCATATGATGTGCTGAATACAAAACCTTTAAAACAACTTTTTGGCATTAATACACAGAATCCTTCCTTGAACATTCTGCAAGAGTAGGTGCAGACACGGAATTACTTCTTCATTTCCAGATTACCAGTATCTATAGGACTACTTCAAGAAAAGCTGGGAAGCAGAGCACCTTCCCTCCCCCGTATCACTTTCTTTGCCAAAGCAGGAGGGTCTAAGGGGTTTAGGTGGAGGAGGGCAGCTGACAGGGCTCTGTAAAGTCACCAATTAGCTGCAGGGGAGGCACACTGCCCCCACAGGGTATGGAATGAACAACCAGCCTTGGTTTGTAGCCCAAGGTGTCCGTGGATTTGACCTGAATGCTCCCCGGAGTCCCTGTGGGGCAGACAGGCACTGGATGGTTCAGACCCTCCGGCTGGAGGAGTGGTGGAGCCAGGACTGGGCCTCCAGCCCTGAGGTCTAGAAGAAATAACCTGACCTCCTGCATTCTCACACGGGGTCATTAATGACACCTTTCCAATAGATGTGCAAAAACCAACACTGTCAGGAACCTGGCCCTGGAAGGGCTCAGGTGAGCTCACAAGGAGAGGTCAAGCCAAGCCAAAGGGTAGGTTAACACACAACACCAGGGAAACCAGCCCCCAAACCAGCTGTTGGCGACATGCCTTGGGTTTGGCAACTCATCTAGTTGTAGCAGAAATTGCCTGACACTCAGTTTTCTTCAGCCGTACCAAGCTCTCCAACTTCCTCAGCATCCCTGTCCCTGGCATCTTTTCCAGGATCGGAATGCCCAGTGCAGCCCCCCACCGAGGCCCTGCTGTGGCCAGCAGGACCGTTCTGCACAGCCTCGCCCTCCACACCCACCCCACACAGCTGGCCACCAGGGGACAGCTGTTCTCCCTTATTCTCTTGGACAAGGCCCTTCATCTCCTCGGAGACTCCACCCTCCTGCTGCTGTCCCGAAACACAGTTTCCCATGTCTCCAGCTTTGGAAGACTGGTCTTCTAAATTCTTCTCATTTTCTTCTGCTTGTTGTTTGTCTCTGGCACTGAGTTTACCTTTTGATTTCCTCATCTGCCTGTTGTGCATTTCTTCTCTGGAGAACCGCCACTGAAACTAGAAATCAGAGAAGACAGGGATAAACAACAAGCCTCTGGGAACCCAGAGCTTCACCCAAGGCCTTGTTTGCATTCATACCCACACTGTGTTCTAAGTGAGAAGTACAATTCCCAGAATCCTCCAGCCAAGCAGTACAGGCACCAAACTTGAATCACACCCAATCACATCACACTCCCACCAAGAGCCTTCCCTATGCCTTCCAGGATGTGTATTTTAGATGTAGATTTCAGGTTCTGGGAGGGCAGAGGAGTGTTTCTTTTGACTGGCTCTATACTCCCAATAAGTCAGGGCTGCAGCTACTCATTTCCATTGTGAGCAGGCTGTGGATTACCAGGCATGGGGCTGGCATTGTCTCACCAGGTCACCTGAGTAAGGCAGGGCCCAGACTATGGGGCAGACACTGTGCTGCACCACTCAGATCCCCTACAGGACTGGCAGGCCCACTCCCTAGCTAGGATGATAGCCCTTTGCAGACCACTGCCTCACAGAAGGTTGCACCAGGGCAATTTAGAGCCAATGACTGGCCCAGGTAGGATTCAACAACCCATTTCCTGGTCCCAATCTGGGACAACTGAAACGCCGTCCCAGTTCCAAGCCAACCTGGGGGACTGTGACTGCATCACAGCCCAAATTTGCCCTCTGCCCACTCCTGTACTGGCAAGTGTTCCTAAGGTAACTCCCTCTAAAAACTTCATCCAAATCTCAGAGGCTGCTTCCTAGGGGGCCCAGCCTGTAACCAAGCATTTCCCAGTGTGACAGGGAAGTCAGAGGCTCAGAGTCCCAAGGTCACACGGCCAGTAATAGAGTTGGGCAACAACCGGGGTCTCATCAAATCTCTGGAGCAAGACCACCCAAGGGAGCCCCAGCTCCGCCACTCACTGGCCAAGTTTCTCAACATGAATTTCTCATCTCAGTGACCTGGAGTGCACATAAGGTTTTAGTTTTAAGTTCCCACCATGGCCACTTCCTTGTGCTTCGGTTGCATCACATTGGTTTCACCAAGTATGCACTTAAATCTTAGATGTTCTATAATTGAAAGAAAAGGGGAGCTTTCGGTTCCTATGATTTCTTGCTGGGCTAGGGAGGGGAGCCCAAGAATGCAGTTGCACCATCAGTGGGAAATGATTTCTTAAGGCTTTACCATGTTGTAAATAATTCTGAGCACTTTGCTAGGAAAAACGAAAAATGTGCTATGTAAATGTTTTAAAATCTGCCATTTTTGCAGTTTTCCACGGTAGAGGTCTATTTCCTCAAATAAAACATTGGCCTCAACACAGAATTCTGAGATTTAATATAGGATTCTTGGATTTAACACTTTTTTCGATAAGAATGGTAACGGAATGTTCCATTAAAGTAGAGAAACATGAGTGAAATATATGTTGAGGTTAGGATTTAACATTTATCCAGTCCTTTCCCACCCTGTACTCCCCAAAATTCCCAAGTTAGTTCACTTACAATGTTGGATGGGTTTCTCCTTTGATCTCTTTTGGAATGTCTCCTACTATAGCTGACAGATCTCCCTAGGAGATGGGTGGAGCTTTTTCCACCCAAACTATGAGGATCCCAATAATAGGATTGCTCTGTAAGCTAAGTGGTGCCTCAGACCCATCTACTTCAGCCAAGCCTGCCAGGCAGGCATCTCGAGGCTCCAGACCCACCGGAGGAGGCCGCTGATTATGGCCCTCAGCATGAGGGCGGCTGCCTCCACCAAGCCTCCATGGCTTCCGGGCACTGTGCTATGGTTCATAACTGCTGCCCTGTGCTAGGCAGGGCATTTTATTCCAGCCCAAATGTAAGAATCTATCTTTTTTAAAATGGATGTTCCAAAACAGTCAGAGCCTCTTCACATTTTATATCATTTGACATGTTTTTAGAAAAAGATCAGTTAAGCCTACCTGTATAATATAGTATTCCGAGAGGCAGTCGGCTCTCAGGAAAGTCAGAGGAAGTTTTTCTGCTGCCAATAAAGTGGTGACTGTTTTGGCTAAGAGGCCCTAAGTGCTAAAATGTCAAAGCATTATAGTATAGGTTCAAATCCTAGTGCCGGCACTTGTTAGCTGTCAGTCCTTAGGCAGGTCATGAATCTGACTTTCAAGTTACTCATCTCTAAAATGGTTGTCTCAGCCTCCAGGACGGCGGTGCACACCTCCAGGCCCTGTTTACATTGTATTTGATGTGAATAGCGCCCTCTGCTGTTGTGCCATGTACTACTGAAGACATTTCCATCACATGCTAGACCTTCCATCTAACATGAGCCCAGACGATCTCAAGGGCTGCTCTTGCTAAATAAACAACAGAGGTTCCATAGTTTCCTCTGGACGCCTGGCCATACCCAGTTTCCTGGGGAAGATCACATCTTGTTGATCTGATATAAAAGGAGAACACGGACGGTGGAAAGCAGACAACAAAAACTGTTTTTTCAGAGCCCAACAATTCAAAAAGGAGGTGTCTCAGAAAGCAAGAGGAGGCCTGGACTATGCCAGAATTCGGTAGAGCCTCTGAGAGCAGGTCAAACATCCACACCACTTAAAGGCACGCAGTCTAGCCTGGGGAATGGACCCCATGTTTTGAGCAGGACCTGGGGAGTCTCTGAGCTTAACCAGCAAGCTTCAGGTAAAACAGGCTGCACTGAGTTGGGGGCTTCCCAAGCCAGAGCATCTGTGGCAGTTGGGTGTGTCACCAAATCCAACTAGCCACCCAATTCAGAATAACCGTCTAAAAGGAAAAAAATTCCTTTACGTCACAGTAGTGTGTGTCCAGAATTCCATGTCGTCAGGGGCCAATGGGTTTAATTTGCACATTTTAAAAACTGCCAATTATTTAGTTTCGCTGGAAGTCTTCCCCTGAATTGTAGAAGTCACTATTCCTTTTGAAGGAGTTTAATATTTGCTTTGAAAATCACATGCACATACACAGAGGTTTCTTTCAAATGCTGAAAAGTCTTGATTAGAAAATTATGTCCATGTTGCGAATTAAAAGAAGACTTAAGTGTGCCACATCCTCAGTGTGCCAATCTTGCAATTTCTTAAGTTTAAATGCTGGATATATGTATGTCCTTGCTCAGGAGTTGATTACTCATTCATTGATTTAACAAATATCTGTTGAGCACCAACTAAAATCTGGGTACTGGGTACACAACACAGGAAAAAGGTCTTTTCTCTTTTGGAGATTCTGTCTGGCTCTACCTGGAAAGGATAAAATCATGATCACAAATAACTAAAAGCCCAGAGGAGAGCTCTGAAGGGGAAGAACACGGTTCTTTTCCAGTGTGGTACAAAGAAGCCTGCTTTGGTTTAAAAGGAGACAGCACTGTCCCAAGAAAGGGATGCTTGAGTGGAGCCAGAAAGGAGGAGAGTCCTTGGCAGAGGGGACACAGAGGAGCTGGAGGCTACAGAGAATGGGAGGCTGATGGAGGAAGTAAGAGGGGCCAGATCCCTTGGGGCCTTCAGGGCCACGGTGCTGACTTCCATCTTTGGCTTCAGAGTCATACAAAACTTCAGAACTCCTTTGAGCAGTGGGATGACAGGATTCAAGTTGCCTTTTTAACAGATCACTTTGGCTCTGAATAGAGAACCCATTTGAAGGGGAGATCTGTTGAGATTGGAGCAGCCAAAGCGAGTAATGGTGGAGAGAGGTGGAGGGATTCCAGAGCCTCTGGGACCTAACACAGATGAGTCCTAAGGATAGACTGAATACAGGGGAAGAAGGGAGTGTCAGCAGGGACAGCCCCTAAGGGGTGGGTGCCATTCCTCTAGATAGGTGCAGTGGGCCTGGTGGGCCAGGTATGGGGAGGGGGAGAGTCATGGGCTTGCTCTTAGCTTGAGTGAGCCACAGGATGGATGGAGCTGGAGTCTTGGGGCACAGTGAGGGCTGAAAGTACAGACAGAATGGTCACTGGCACAGAGGTGGTGAAGGAGGTTTAGGAAGGCAAGAGTGAAGGGAGAAAATGGGGCTGGGTGTGAACCCCGAGGAATTTAGTGGCAAACCAGGAGAATGAGGTGGGAAAGAACCAAGAGAAAAGCTGCTTCAAGGAGTGGGGGTGGCCCCAGCGTCAAGGCTGCAAGAGCTCAGGCATGAGGAAGACCGGATGGAGTGACTCACGGTCACCAGGTACACAGGCCTGTGGGAGCAGGACGCTGCCCTGCGTTGGCTGAGCAGTGAGGAGGGGACACTCAATGCAGAAGATTCTTCCAGGGAGTCTGGCTTTCCAGCCCCCTCTCTGGGGTACTCCCATCTGTAAGACGACCCAGAGAGTCTTACATAGAACAAGTGCTCCACACCAGCCACCTCCAGTCTTAGAATGAGGGAGGAAATAATTAGGTACATGGAAAGAGAAAGCCGTCTACCCAGATAAGTACAGCTGATTGGGATTAGAAGTTTTTACTGACTGAAAAAACAGTAGGTCCCATCCTCTCTGAATTTTCCCGGAGGAAAGTCAATTCTACATTATTATAACAGCTTTTACAAATTTACCTCTAAAATCTCCCTGCCTGCTCAAGTTTCCACTGACTTGTTCCCCTCCGTGTGATGCCATGACCTTCATACCAACATCCACCCACGTGTCTCTCCTTTGGAATCTGAGTGTCCCACAACCAGGAACCTGTTAGGCAAAGGTGGCACCATCTCCCTCGAAGGCTGCAGCAGTGTCTGTCAGCGTGTGACAGGGGCCCTCGTGTGCACTGTGTGTTGAATGTCACACTTGCTGAATGCATGCAGTCCCCGTGAGCCTGCGGCTGATCCATCTTCCAGCCAGTGGCTGCCTGCTCCTGGTTGTTGTTGGTGGGCCGGCAGCTGCCTTCTGGTCCACTGCACTGTCACCTGTCACATTACACCCTCAGATCCTGGAGAAAGACCTTCCTCCACACTTCAGCCCATCTGGCTTCAAGTCACCATTGCCTTGGCACTCCTTCCACAAGTGGGCTCCCCCTGGAGTTGTTGGCTGGTGAGGGGCTGCTGCAATCTGTTCATTTGCTTCATGCTCCTGCCCCAGGGCTCTGTGTCCAAAGAACACGAGGAACCAAGCATCAGGAATACAGGGGTGATGCCAAGAGTGAGGAGCCGAGCAGGTCAGGCAGGCTCTGCTGAGAGCGTGGCCTCAGCCATCAAAGGTGCAGTGAGCTGGGTACAGGTGACACTTGACTCAGGCTTTGGGGAGTTCGCTCAAGTCACCAGCCTCTTCCCAAGCAACTGGTGAAACTTCCTCAGGAGAAGCACCACAGGCTGCTCAGTGCGGGGTGGGAGGCATCAGAATCACCTGGCACAAGGGTTGCTGACACTTCCAGCTGGTACGACCCTTGTGCTCACCTTCGGGAATCCCAGGGAAGACTTGAGAAGGCCAGCCTTGGTGAACTGTGTTTCTAGGGCAGTTCATGCGGAGTCCAGAGATGGAGGAGGGCCCTGGGGATCTCTGAGGACAGCCTGGTCTGAGGACTTGGCTGCCAGAGGCTATGGCTAGCCCCTGTCTGCCATCAGAGGCCTTTGGGTCTAGGCCTATCAAGAAGGGATTCTGGCAGGGTCTCTCTGCCCAGATCAGCCCACTTCCAAGGTCCTGAGGAATCTAATAAGGCAGGCCAGAGCTCCAACCAGCTGGAAATGAGATTAAGATACAGAGAAGCTGGCCATGAGCTCGAGCCATCCCCACCCTGTGGTCAGACTGCAGCTGACTTCATGCCCTTCTTTTCATCCTAGTGATGCTACCTGGCAGACGGGAGCTTCCGGAAGAGCCTCTCTCCTCCATCCTTCTGGCCTGCCCAGCAGGACAATGGCAGACAAGGCCCTCCAGTCCCTCAGCTGTCCCGTTTTAGCAGCCTGAGATGTGATTCGGGTTGCCAGGGGCTCTGGGAGTCCTTGGAAGCTGGAGTAGCCTGCCCCCTCAAATGCTGCAGAAAATCCACTGAAGAGGAAACCCTGCTGAGGAAAACCTAGGAAGGCCATCAAAGTCTCTTACCTTCGATTCTTTCTTCTTGGTTTTCTGAGGTAGACATGGTCTCTGAAGAAAGACAATCTGCTTGGTGGATACACTCCCCTCCCTGTAAGACACAGAGCTGAGAATGAGCCATTTGCTGCCTTGGAGGAACCCAAAACCTGATGCAGATGTTGCCATCCCTAACTTCTCCACAGCAGACCAACCCGGGACTATGACAGTTAGGAGTCAGAGGCACCTGCTCTACCCCCCACTCCCAAGCCATCTAACCCTGCTTCCAAGGGGTACCTCAGATGCCCAACAAAAGCTTTTTGGGTATCCCTACAAAGTCAGCTTCCTAGCTAGACACACCCATTCCCTTAATGGGAAGTAACAGTATCTTGGCCAAATGAGGACACATTGGCTGGTTCAGTGGATCTCAAAGGAACAGGGGCCTCTTCCAAATCTGTCTCTGGTAATGATGGCCAGGTAGGTAAGAACCTGGGTGATGAGCTCAGCCCTCCAGCTGCTACAGGACGGTGGGCAGAGGACACGGCTGCACCCAGGGTCTCAGCCACGCATGGCTCCTGGAGGCGCACCAAAGACTGCGCAGTGCCAGGTGGGCCCCCCAAGGCAATACCTGTTAACCAGCTCTGGCTCATATGAGCAAAGCAGGTGAGGGAGGGGCAGCTCTTATCTTATAATATAGTGAATATTCTCTTTCCAGAAGGCAAGACCCCAGAGCTGCCTTTAGAGATGATAGAAATATTGTAAAGATCACTGTTTTTTTTTCCCCTGCTTCCACCCTTCTGTTGATTTTGTATTTTAAATTTACAAATAATAATTGTATATTTATTGAGTAGAATGTGATGTTTTGATATATGTTTGCAATGTGGACTGGTTAAATCAGGCTACTTAACAAATCCATCACCTCACATACGTAGCATTTTTTATGGTGAAGACATTTACAAGCTACTCTTTTAGCAGTTGTAAAATATGCAAGGCACCATTGTTTATAATAGCCACCATTCTATGCAATAGATGACCAAAACGTATTCCTCCTGTCTGGCTGAAACTTTGTACCCTTTGATCAATATCTCTCCTTTGCCCATCGCCCCACTCCGCAACCTCTGGTCAACACTATTCTACTCTCCACTTCTATGAGTTCAACTTTTTTAGATTCCACATATGAGAAAGATTATAAGGTATGTCATTCTGTGCCTGGCTTATTTCACCTAGCATAATGTCTTCCAGGCTCATCCTTGTCATAAGTAACAGAATTCCCCCCCCGTTTTAATGCTGAATAGTATTCCATTGTGTATATACACCACATTTTCTTTATCCATTTGTCTGACGAGGGAAACCTAAGCTGCTTCCATTTCTTAGTGTTGTGAATAAAGCTGCAAAGTCATGGAAATGCAGACCCCTCTTCAGCATACGGATTTCAATTCCTTTGGATACATACCTAGAAGTGGGATTGCTGGATCGTGTGCTGAGTCTACCTTTAGTTTTCTGAGAAACCTCCATACTCTCTTCCATAATGGCTATATTAATTTACAGCCCCACCAAGAGCATACAAGGGTTCTCTTTTCTCTATACCCTTGCCAACACTTATCTTTTGTCTTTTTGATAATAGCCATCCCAATCAGTGTGAGGCTCTGTCTCATTGTGGTTTCAATTTGCATTTCTTAAATCTCTGTTTTGTAAACGTCTTTACATATTACTGCATTCAGCTACAAAGTCTCTAAGAAAAAAGAGGGAGAGAAATAATACTTGCTCCACACCTATTTTGTGCTAGCAGCTGGGCGGGAGATTTCACACGTAATGGCTCATTTAAGCTTCACCTCAATGCTGCACGGAATCCTACTCCCACTTTTATAGAAGGAAACAAAAGCTTAGCTCAAGAGCAGGCTGGAGATCACACAGTGAGGATTCAAACACAAATCTGCCCAGTTCCACGCACTTTTTTCTTTTCTTTTTGAGATGGAGTTTTGCCCTTGTCACCCAGATTGGAGTACAGTAGTGTGATCTTGGCTCATTGCAACCTCTGTCTCCTGCGTTCAAGCAATTCTCCTGCCTCAGCCTCCAGAGTAGCTTGGATTACAGGCATGTGCCACCACGTCCAGCTAATTTTTGTATTATTAGGGTTTTACCATGTTAGCCAGGCTGGTCTTGAACTCCTGACCTCGGGTGATCCACCCGCCTCGGCATCCCCACAAACTCGCCAAATTCCACCCCAAGTGGTCATTTAAGGAACAGGGAGGTGGAGGACTAGGAAGTATTATTTAGCAGGTGCGAAGGTCTGAGACAGACCTGTCCCAAGCCCCTGGGCTTAGATGGCTCAGAACCAGCTGGGCCTTCACATTCCAATGCATTCTTACTGTGAGTCTTATCTGGAAACTGACCAGGAAACTGACTCAGAGAAGCTATGTAACTTGATCAACATGACACAGTTGGTAAGTGGCAGACTGAGGACTTGGGTTCAAGTCTTCAGGCCCCAAATCCAGGGTTCTTTCTATACCACTTCACTGCCTTGGGCCTGTCGAAGTCTTGGCTGAGAAAGAATATAATGGTTCCCAGTGGCCAAGGGGCTCAAAAGTGGCCACAGACTAGCTCCCCCTGGTGCGCTGACCCACTGTGACTCAGCGTGGAACCTGAGGAGCCCAGTGAGCCAGAGGAAGGACCTGGAAAGACATCAACTGTTACCATGATTCTGTACTCTCAATCACCCTGGTCACCAGCCTTGCCTCATGCTGTCTGTCACTCTCCAGTGGTGGCTGTGCAGCAGGACTTGGAGAAGGCGGAGCTCTGGGGGCCACAGGAGGGGCCTCCCCGCTCCTCGCATCAGCAGAGAGGCAGCCTGCTCCAGGAAAAGCGGGCTGAGGTTCTAGGCCCAGTTTATGCCACTTAACTGGTTATATAGCCGTAAGTATGTGACCAAGCCTCCCCAGCCTCAGTTTCCTCATCTGCAAAATGGGAATCATACCCATGCTTGCAACCCCACAGGGCAGTAAGGAGGACTACATTGGATAGTAAGCCCAACATATAGCTGGAGGGCCTTTTATGGTTGGTATGACAGGGCTCAAGGCAGGGCGGGCAGAACTGAGGGTGAACAAATGACCATGAATGTGAAATTTTAAGGAATGCCACAGCAAGGCCCGAAGGGCAGGTCTTTACAATCCATTTGTGGAGCTACTGACCAGTGCCATGATCTTGGGTAAGTCCCTCAACCTCCCTGGCTACACTTTCCTCAGCTGTCAAGTGGGTTTAATAATAATACTCATAGGATTTTTCTTTTCTTTTTGAGGACTGAAATTTTTATCTGTAAAGTGCCTACCTAGCCTAGCACAAGGCACAGAGTTGGTGCTGGATTTCTTTTGCATTAGAGGCTCTGGGTCCCCTCATTCTGGGCGGCTCATCTTTGACATGCTGGGCAGTAATGACTCACAGGGCCCCCCATGTGGGAAATGGGGTGCAGGGGAATTCTCTGGGTGATGGTGGTTAAGAATGCAAAATTCTGGCTCTGCTGCTTCCCAGTGGGAAAGTTTACATAACTACTGGCCTCTTGCACAGGATTAAATAATTTATAGACATGAGGTGCTTATTAGGAACAGTGATCACTAGTACAGAATAAGTGTTCAATAGAATCCTAACGATTACTGTGATTGTTACCTGGTAGTCCTGACGACGGGAGTCGGTAGCACACAGGTGAGCTGCCAGCCGTAGGCCGCCAGGGAGTTCACCAGGGGCACGTAGTCTGTCTGCACCTCGACACCCTGGGGGAACAAGGCCAGCATTAGTGCCGCTGCTGTCATGAGCCAAGTCCCAAGCAATGAGAGGGGACTATTCCATCTGCCAATCCAGCAAAGCAGAAAAGAGGTGGCGGTGCCCGGCCGCTCAGAGGCTCCTGCTCCAGTGCTTGCTGACTTCAAAAGTTTAGAGTCAAACAGCCAACGGGATTTCCTGCTGGGCCCCAATTCAGCCTGTGACGTCAGCAGGGAATTGGAGCCAAAAGATTAATCCATTAATTTTGTTTTATTCTTGCCTGGACAAATAGCCTCCTGTGAGTTTCACAGATGAAGCATAATTGTCTCGACTCTGAGAGGTATCCAGGGCATATAAGTACACGTGCTGCTCTGGATGAGTTCAGCGTGTTGTGGGGAGTTAACATGTATTTGACAAATGGCCAAGTAGTTGTTTGCGTCCAGCCACAGTAGCAACACACACATGCACATCCACGCGTGTATGCACACATAGAAGCCACTTTGCCTATGTTACATGCCCGTCCATGCAGGGATGAATGAATCCTGCCATTTTTTTTTTTTTTTCTATTGCAAGGCTGGAATGCAGTGGTGAAATCTCAGTTCACTGCAGTCTCCGCCTCAGGTGATTCTCCTGCCTCAGCCTCCCGAGTAGCTGGGGCTATAGGCGCGCACCACCATACCCGGCTAATTTCTGTACTTTTTTAGTAGAGACGGTGTTTCACCATGTTAGCCAGGATGGTCTTGATCTCTTGACCTCATGATCTGTCTGCCTCAGCCTCCCAAAGTGCTGTGATTACAGGTGTGAGCCACCACGCCTGGCCTGCCATGTTTTATTTCAAATTAGGATCTGGGTTAACTAATACTTGTCTTTGAATTTAAAAACTCAGTCCCCTGCTAGCACAGGGAGAGATGTGAGGCCCCTGCACTGGCTTTGACCGCTGGGGGCGTTGTCACTGCAACAGGCCTCATTTCTTACTCCAGGATCTTCACTAACACTGAATGTGTAGCTCCCACCCCTGCCCCCTGTGTAATTGGACTCCCCATCCCTTCTAGTTTGGCTTCTTGTTGTTGGCTTCCGAAAATCTCAAACGTGTATCCAGATTCTTTCCACCCTGTATGCCCACATAGTTCATTTATCAAGAACTGTAGAGCCATGGTGGGTGCAAAGGCATGGTTCTGGCCCCTGGAGGTCACTGGCTAACAGAGGCAACAGCACAAACGTGAGGAACTGGAAAACCTAAGGGCTCACTAGCGGGGCCATGAGACTTTGAATGCCAGCAGAGGTGGGAGAGATCCCAGCCACAGTCAAAGCAGGCTTCCTGGGCATATACAAATTAGAAAGTAAAGCCAGGCCTAGAATTCCAAGGTCTGCGATCGGCTTAACTCAGAGGCAGCGCGTGTGACTGTGGTCTGGAGTGCTCCACTCAGAGGGCGGCCATGCGTGGTGAGTGGCTATTCTGCTGGTGGCCCTTTGGGAAGAGAATCAGCTCATCTGGCTGCCCTGGGCAAGGGGGATGGAAGGGAGAGCAGGGAACCACCTGTCCCATCTCCTCAAATGGCTTTTAAAGCTTCTATAACTGGCTACCGGTTCCAGAGTGGCTACCAAGTCACCTGAACCCCTGGTGATTAATTTATCACTCGCAGCCTCAGTTTCCTCAGCTGTGTAAAATGGGTGCTGGCCTATGTCAGTGGTTCCCAAAGCGTGGCCCCTGAGCCAGCAGCAGCAGCATCACCTGGGAACTTATGAGAAGCCCAGATTCTTGGGGCCCCATCCCAGACCTGATAAAGCAGGGACTCTGGGAGTAGCACCCCAGAATCTGTGTTTTAAAAAGCCCTTCCCAGTGGTCCTGATGCAGCTAGGTCTGAGAACTACCGCCTAGGTGATAGTGTAGGTCTCTTCTGGCAAAAGAAAAGTCTGTAATTCTGTGGCCAGAATCTATCAGCTGTTGCCTCAAATCTAACTTTTCCCATAATTCTCCATGTGCAAAAAAAACCAATGTATTTTTAAAGGATCAGCTCTATTAGAAATTCTGCTGCAACACAAGGGAACGGATGGAGCAAGGGGAGAAAAGAAGGAAAGTGCTAAGGTTTGAATGTGTCACCCAGAGAGCTTCCATGTGTTGACAACTTAATCCACCATGCAGTGACACTGGATGGTGGGTCCTCGTGGGAGGTGTTTAGGTCAGGAGAGCTCAACCCTTGTGAATGGATTAATGCCAACTCAAGCAAAGGGCTTGAGGCTACGAGTTCAGGCTCTTGCTGTCTCCCCACTTGGATGACACAGCAAGAAGGCCCTCACAAGATGCTAGGCCCTTGACCTTGGACTTCCAGCCTCCAGGACCAGGAAATGTCTGTCCTTTATGAATTGTCCAATCTCAGGTATCCTGTTACAGCAGCACGAGTGGACTCAGACAGGCAGAAGTGGAGAAGAGGAAGGGGAAAGAGGAAACTCAGTAAAGGAAGAGGGAAAG